GTTGTTTACTGAAAAAACAATGTTTTCTATTGCTAAAATTTATTGCCTACCTAAAACGCCTTAAACGTTTTATAAATAAGGTATTTTATTTGGTATAAAAATAAACATTACGCGCCGTATTGAAGTTTGATTACCGTTCATAACGTCATTTTGCCCTCGAAGAAAAAAGAACCTAATAACATTATACATCACATACGATCGATGCATCAGAAATAACTAGAATTCTAACGGTGAATACTTCATCTGATCCATCAACGCAAGAGAGCAGGTCTTCAATTATCATAATATGCAGTTACTATTTCTTTTTATACAATTTTGCGTAGCTTTATTTAAGTACAGTGCACATTTCTTTTAATAGTATACAGCAACTTCTCAAAACTATACATATACAAACCAGCACAAATATTTACTTAATTTTATATATTTTCATTATAGCCAAAAGGTTTTTTGTTTTAACCATTCAATGAATAGAATTGCACACGGTATTTATCGCAGTCCACAGATATTTCTATAACTTGTTAAATGTGCGCGTTTCATCATTTTTATACATATTTAATTGAACTAAATTTCCCAACTGTGCAAATTAATTAAAGATGAATGATAAAACAACACTTTTTGTTATTATTATTAGGTTTAACAACAGGATAGCGTTAGTACGCCTGTTTAACTCACTGATCCACAACACGCTGTGATACGTTCATCTACTGAAGTTATTTATAATAAGTGTAAACGATATCACAAAATCAGCAAACTTATAAAATATACATGTACAAGGTTCAAGGACGCGTCATCTTTGACCGACGTCGTCAGGTTGCTCACCTCATTTTTTATTTGCTCAAAATAAAAATCTTGCGATACTCGGAAGAAACGTTTTATAACCTAAAAAATAGCCGATCGGGATTTTCTACACACTCATAGCAGTGGTATTTTCACACTCTACTCACGCACCAAACTTTGGAAATTGATCTATTAATCGTGAACAACCTCTAAATTACTCACGTGGTGAAAAAACGAAAGAAGAGATAATCTAAATACGTCGTGATTTATAAAATGCGTATAAGAAATAATAATAGTTTGGGTATTTTAGATAAAATCTTCCATAGCAGTTTAAAATAGAATAAACGAACCCTATTCTCGCGGTATAAATGCATAAAGCCTCTTAAGTATAAACTTAAAAGACGTATACGATGAGAATCGTAAAAAATTGACTAATATTGTAATCGAATTTGGTATTGTAAAGCCGTAAAATGATTTTTTTTTATGAATTTTTTACGAGGAAACATATTTTTTGCTATTAATATTCGATCGATTGCTATCGTATTTTTCACCAGAAAACAAAACAAAACATTTTATAAATCAATAATTTATAATTATACAATAATAAATTAGAAAATCGATATTTTTTCGGGAGGAGACCAAAATATGTAAACATATATATAGGAAGTCAGGTTGGATTTGGTTGAGTTTATACATAGTTAAAAAAAAATCGGTAAAGTGGATCACCCTCCGGATTTGGCCTTGATATAAACACAATGCATAGTATGTGCTAAATATAAACAAAATATTATCTTGTCAAGATAATATCGTATTTATATTTTGAACTAGCGCATGCAGATTTCGTGTAGTACTTATACATTTTAGTGCTAATGGCTTAAAAATGCATTTAGTATTTGTCATATTAGCCATGTGTGTTTGTTAAATTATAATGGGGATATTTACTTTGTAGAAGAAACCATTTAATAGGTCATGGGTGTTTGCAGAGTAAATGCATTATGTGTGCACCGGTACAAAATATTATATGATTTACGGCAAGCAATGTGTTATGGCTTAGTATCAATAGCCGTTTTAATTAGTTTCAATTTCATAACAGTGTGAAGAATCGTTCGGCGAACCGAATGCACTTGAACTTGGCAATCGTGCTTCCGCGACGGATTTACTCGGGTTATCGTTCTGGTCACATGCGTTTTGCGGTGTACTACATAATAATAACTACCAGGGAAAAAAATAAATAAAATAATACAGAAATAAAAGTATGATCGAGAGCACCTTGGGCAAGACGCCGCACAAGATAAACGTAACAAACCGGANTATGTATAATAGAGAGTTGGTCTAATGTAAAAATGTAAAATAAATAAGTTGTCAATCGAATAGGAAAACAATTATTTGGGTATACGTGCAGAGCTGTTAACCTCACTTCATTATTTAGTGTAATCACTTTTTAAGCTATCGATGTTTGTCCATGATCGTCTCGGCGTGCACGCAAAAGAAGTCATTGTTAATAATTTTCCTCATTAAAACAAGAATTTTTCTATCCATCTATGCGTGACGGCAAATTATATTTTACGTAAATAGGAATGTGTAATGACTTTTTTTCTATAACAACTTCAAGTTATTGTTCTTTTATTAAAGAAAAAAAAAACCAAGCAATCATCATACTGCTAGCGTCAGCTTCCTTCCTGCGTTCTCTTTCGGTGCGCCAGTACCAGTCGTCTCTGTCTAAGAATTAGCTAAATTTTCATAAGATAGCATTTTTCAAAGTCGTCGTACAATTACTCTGTGCACGTTATCATTACGGGATTGTGTAACATAACGAGAAAATGAGATTCGGGACTGTTCTTTTTGTAATAATTGCTCCAAGGACACGTGACCGTTGATTCGTGCATGAGCTCGTAAAGGTGTACCGTCCGTCCGCACACGTAACTTAACCAAAACAACATTATTAGACATATGTACGTGTTGTATGTAGATTAATTGCGCGGGCAGTGCATTTTTGTGTCCATTAAAAAATAGCTACTTCCGGGCGTCGAACGCCATTATACACACACACACACACACTAGGTAGTTCATGATGAGGTGGCGGTTGTGCAGGTATCATCATAATTATAATTATATCATTGCTGCCCCNTAGCTACTTCCGGGCGTCGAACGCCATTATACACACACACACACTAGGTAGTTCATGATGAGGTGGCGGTTGTGCAGGTATCATCATAATTATAATTATATCATTGCTGCCCCGTGTGTAGTAATTCTTCTATGCGTGCCGTTGTTGGTGATAATAACGTTCATAAGAAATCCACAAAACGCAACTCAGTCGTTGAACTAAAATGAGTGTGACCCGCCAAGGTCATTGGCTTCACGCGGTCGCGTATCCTTTCCTCATTTTCCAAGGTCGTTGCATCCACTGCGGGATCTCATCAGTGCGTTTGCATGGGCTTTGCCTTTTTTTTTTTTTATATGTTCCATTAATAATTGCTTCTATTTATGGCCATCTGGTAGGCCCCAAGAAGAACTTCACATTGTCACACCTCAGTACCGATTGAAGGGTACTTATACCTGTACACCATGCACTCTTTTTACAGTTTCTTTCTCAAAATCGACTGTTAAATGTTTCTACTTACTCTAGACAGGCGGTTTCATACTCTAAGTCTTAAGTATTATGATTATTAATGCAATACGCATAGCTTCCATTGTATTAGCGTTTACTGATATATGAACAACACAACTGAGTTAATGGATGTCTGATGTACTGAACATCGCGATGGCGAATTCGAGATAAAAACCAAATTAAAACCAGTACCGATATAGCTATTGTCGTGTTCATTGTTCCGAGACTTCTGCAGCTATTGGCTTTTCTGACGCTCTTAAGCAGTTCTTTGCCGTGAGGTTATTTAGGTGTTGTATTTTATATAGTCAATATGTTTATTTAACTTGATCATCTAAATGAATTTACTGAACATTTATTTCTTTGTATAACAATAACTCCCGTCAAAACGATTAACTTCATTGTTTTTATTTTATTGGGTAAAATTTATTTCAACAGAGTTGGAATATACATCAACTTCAATATATTTTCTAAACGCAGTTTTAATATTAAAAATATTAGTAAAGGTTACAATTGTATTAATATTCGGGATTTAAAAACATAAAAATTCATTTTAAGCAACTCATATTTTGTATATATTTCCTAATTTCATAAAGGTCATTAATCTATTTGTTTTACATCCAGGTAAATTGTTTTTTAACTCGTAAATTTAAAAGTATAAAATATATAAAAGGCATTTTCATAACATTATTATTTCTGAATTCAATTATTGTCAACATAATATTATAAAAAAAAATAGCAAATATAGTTGAAAAGAAACTCCCAGTGTCCAGGACTTTTCCGAGACGTGTGGGTGTCATAACCCTACTTGGCAAAATTTAATTATTTTAGTCAATCATTTTTTAATGTGAGAGGTTTTGTTATTAGAAAATCATTTAAAAAAAGTTGTGTCCAAAAACGTTGTATAAATGTTAGTCACATTATTATGTATACATTAATCTGAGATGACTATATGCTTCACATACCTTAATTGAGTCTGAGTAAGAAATGGATCAGAAAGACAATAATTGCCATACTTTATGGAATTACACCGAGCTGGTATTTTTCTGGACTTATATATTGAGTCGGCGTTTAAAATAAAAAATGGAAAAAATTAACATACTGGATGCAGTCACATACGTTAGAACAGCAATATAGTCCGCATTTTTTTCTACTTGACATTATAAATCTTAACAAGAAAGATAATATTGAAAATGCTTTTACAATCCATTGCACAAGGTACACAACAATACTGAAACATGTGACACTCGAGGCAGGATAAATTTGTCAAGCAAATGAAATAAGTTTTACATGACTTAACACTGCATAACGTTTGAGACCATTCACAACACATCTTGTAGGCACAAGACTGAGTGCGCACGCCAACTTTATTGTTTACAGCTTTACATTTATTAAATAAATATCAGGTTTACTAAATGTATTCGTTTAGCCACGTAAAAACATTTTGTTTGATTTCGAATACCTGAGAAGGTGTTTTAATTTTTAAATATTAATATACTAGTAATTTTAAGTATTTTTTTCTCAACTGGAATATTATAATTTTCTAAAGAACACCACTGTTATTTGAGAACATTTATCATAGACACGTATATCACATCTATTTTTATTAATTTTAAGAACAAAAAACTATTAAAAAAAAATGAAATAATTGATAAATTACTCGATTAAAAATTTTACACAAAGAACACATAATAAACAGGTTAATTGATAACAAAAATGTAATTAAAACCACAGAAAATGAGTAATCAACTCATAAATAGCTATTAAATGCAATCAGATTAATGTGTTGTTTACTGAAAAAACAATGTTTTCTATTGCTAAAATTTATTGCCTACCTAAAACGCCTTAAACGTTTTATAAATAAGGTATTTTATTTGGTATAAAAATAAACATTACGCGCCGTATTGAAGTTTGATTACCGTTCATAACGTCATTTTGCCCTCGAAGAAAAAAGAACCTAATAACATTATACATCACATACGATCGATGCATCAGAAATAACTAGAATTCTAACGGTGAATACTTCATCTGATCCATCAACGCAAGAGAGCAGGTCTTCAATTATCATAATATGCAGTTACTATTTCTTTTTATACAATTTTGCGTAGCTTTATTTAAGTACAGTGCACATTTCTTTTAATAGTATACAGCAACTTCTCAAAACTATACATATACAAACCAGCACAAATATTTACTTAATTTTATATATTTTCATTATAGCCAAAAGGTTTTTTGTTTTAACCATTCAATGAATAGAATTGCACACGGTATTTATCGCAGTCCACAGATATTTCTATAACTTGTTAAATGTGCGCGTTTCATCATTTTTATACATATTTAATTGAACTAAATTTCCCAACTGTGCAAATTAATTAAAGATGAATGATAAAACAACACTTTTTGTTATTATTATTAGGTTTAACAACAGGATAGCGTTAGTACGCCTGTTTAACTCACTGATCCACAACACGCTGTGATACGTTCATCTACTGAAGTTATTTATAATAAGTGTAAACGATATCACAAAATCAGCAAACTTATAAAATATACATGTACAAGGTTCAAGGACGCGTCATCTTTGACCGACGTCGTCAGGTTGCTCACCTCATTTTTTATTTGCTCAAAATAAAAATCTTGCGATACTCGGAAGAAACGTTTTATAACCTAAAAAATAGCCGATCGGGATTTTCTACACACTCATAGCAGTGGTATTTTCACACTCTACTCACGCACCAAAGTTTGGAAATTGATCTATTAATCGTGAACAACCTCTAAATTACTCACGTGGTGAAAAAACGAAAGAAGAGATAATCTAAATACGTCGTGATTTATAAAATGCGTATAAGAAATAATAATAGTTTGGGTATTTTAGATAAAATCTTCCATAGCAGTTTAAAATAGAATAAACGAACCCTATTCTCGCGGTATAAATGCATAAAGCCTCTTAAGTATAAACTTAAAAGACGTATACGATGAGAATCGTAAAAAATTGACTAATATTGTAATCGAATTTGGTATTGTAAAGCCGTAAAATGATTTTTTTTTATGAATTTTTTACGAGGAAACATATTTTTTGCTATTAATATTCGATCGATTGCTATCGTATTTTTCACCAGAAAACAAAACAAAACATTTTATAAATCAATAATTTATAATTATACAATAATAAATTAGAAAATCGATATTTTTTCGGGAGGAGACCAAAATATGTAAACATATATATAGGAAGTCAGGTTGGATTTGGTTGAGTTTATACATAGTTAAAAAAAAATCGGTAAAGTGGATCACCCTCCGGATTTGGCCTTGATATAAACACAATGCATAGTATGTGCTAAATATAAACAAAATATTATCTTGTCAAGATAATATCGTATTTATATTTTGAACTAGCGCATGCAGATTTCGTGTAGTACTTATACATTTTAGTGCTAATGGCTTAAAAATGCATTTAGTATTTGTCATATTAGCCATGTGTGTTTGTTAAATTATAATGGGGATATTTACTTTGTAGAAGAAACCATTTAATAGGTCATGGGTGTTTGCAGAGTAAATGCATTATGTGTGCACCGGTACAAAATATTATATGATTTACGGCAAGCAATGTGTTATGGCTTAGTATCAATAGCCGTTTTAATTAGTTTCAATTTCATAACAGTGTGAAGAATCGTTCGGCGAACCGAATGCACTTGAACTTGGCAATCGTGCTTCCGCGACGGATTTACTCGGGTTATCGTTCTGGTCACATGCGTTTTGCGGTGTACTACATAATAATAACTACCAGGGAAAAAAATAAATAAAATAATACAGAAATAAAAGTATGATCGAGAGCACCTTGGGCAAGACGCCGCACAAGATAAACGTAACAAACCGGAACAGCAGAAAACGATACTTACATGGCTAAGCATTTCGCTGTGTATAACATTATACGTACCGTATTTGTAATGACGACGATGACCGCTTAATGGATCAATTATTATTATTTCTATTATGACAGACACTGATATTTTCGACGAATAGTTTTTTTTTTTATAAAGAATGCCAGTAAAATTAGCAAAACAAACAAAAATAAGTTGTAATTAACCGAACGGGACGATTGAGTTTTCAACGGTCGATCGTTACACTTTTTTTTTTGTTCATTCCTTTTGACAAGCAAAATACAAATTTTTAATATTCGCAATAAGAAGATGTTGTTTAAGTTAAGATAAAAGATTAAATAATTATTTCTCTTATATTGCATAAAATTAACGTTTTTCTGTTAGTTGGTTTTACCTATTTATGTACATTTTCTTAGAATATAAAATGAAAATTATTTCATGGTGTCATTCTAGTTTCGGTTCAATTCTGCGCTATGTTATTTCAAAAAAAAAAGGCGTTATTTCAGATTTCACTAAAATGTCCAGGTCTCCACCCTCGAAATGACGCCTCTGACTCTAAACTATAAAAGTTCTTACTTTTCATAAGGAATCATATCTATCAGAATTAATGTCTGTTAAAACGCAATGTTTGGTTTAGTACTTTGCATTATCTTTGTCTATCTCCATCGGTACCGAATGAGGCGATCGCGTTGCTTCACTGGCTAGCAACGACAATGCGAACATTTTGCACCAAGGGGGTAAAAGTGAAGTAAAGTGCCTATGCCGTGTGCAGAGCGAATGTGTGTGATAGTGTAAATCGTATATTGGGTGAAATGGAAAAAGATACACACACTGCCCCCGTTGGCCTTGCAAAAATAATCTATTACAGACTCGCTTTTAATCGGATTATCCGTGACTGAGGGGATACAACATATAAGGGATAAGGTTATTAAGTCTTCAGTAGCTGCCATACACAACAGGGGCGAAGCACATTTATACACTGCGGTAAATAGCCGGCGTGCTAAATCTCTTAGAAAAGCAAGAAAAATCGATACATATTTTTTCATGGTTTTCCTCTTTGCAGATTTTCCATTTACCAGATATACATCGTAACAAATTACTCACTTCCTCAGGCTAAGGGCATTCTAGTTAAGACTGCAACGCGATCTTCGAACTACGCAAGAGCATTTTGCCGTGAAATTGAAACAGAACAAAGATAAATCGATCGTAGAACTGTACAAGTCACTCGAAGTTTTACAAGTAAGTTAGTTTAACAAAACATGAATAATAACGACGAGTTTGGATAATATGGTTTTCATTATTCATTCGAAGTTTTTTTTTTGTAATTGTCACATTGCATATAGAACAAAGTAATTAAGAATTTACTTGGTAGTATTGACTTTCAATACTAAACATTTCATAATTTATTTCGACTGTTATTTATTAATAGGATACTTAATAATTTTTACGAGAATTTCTTTGATCATATAGTTTTGATTACTTTTTATTTATTTTAACACTAATAACTAATTCATTTTTTAATCGACGCAAGTCATTTCTATATTTCGATTGCATATCTTCTAGTGTATTTTTGACGTGATATTTACTGCTTTACATTTAGTTAAAACGTTTTCAAGGTATCTTTTTATTGGCAAACAAATAAATTGTATTACACTTTGTTTTCGCGTTAGGCGTCATCTCGAAAAAATTAAATAGAGATTATACGGAACTCACATTTCATACAATATTGTTTTTTATTTAAAAAAAACACGATGTTCATATTCAGTATATAATACAGTTCATGGAGATAGTCTAATGTACAACGTTAACGTAATAGCGAATGACGAAGAAATATAAACAACATTAATCCGCATTACTTATTTTATTGTTAGGCCGAATGACATTTTATCTAGATAGTTATTAAACTGTTTTCTATACAATTCAGATTGAACTATTGTTGTATTTTTCATTGAAATTTGCTGATTCATTTAAATGTATCAAATGTGCAACAAATACTAATTATGACTTTCCATTTTTTTATCCGTATTATTTTAATTAGTTATAATTTACAACAATATTTATTTGAACATTTTAGTATAACAGATGAACTGCCAGAATTGATATTATTTGACCGATACCATATCCTAAGAACGCAGCCAGTACAATGTGGTCGTGGTGCCTCAGTGTCACCATACAATCAGCAGCGAATGATCTTATTTGAACTTCTTTGTCGTGATTATGGCCGTTAAGCCCGTAAAGAGGTACATCACGATAGAATTAACAGAATAACGGATATTAACAGCTCAATAACGTATCTTTTTATTAATGCGCGAGCATGCATTGGATACATATTCTTTGAACAAGTATTGGTACTTCTAGTGGTCTATAAGTTTTGTCATATACATGTAAAGGTACTATTGACTGTATCGTCCATTACCGTAATATCAATTTGCATTCGTTTATATAAATATAAGCAAGTTTATACATGTTTACCTAAAATACAGTAATACTCGTAAAGAAATGCATCTAAAAATAAAAACGTACATTTTTCTATTACGTTGAAAAGCCATTCCAGCTTAGACAAAGAATTAATGGCACTGATCACGACGGACGTCAAATAATTTAAAACAATTTATTCTCATAAAGAATTCTTTCTCGGGAAATCTTACACAGATAGTGAACGTATTTTTTAGTGAACCGTTACTGAAGATTTCTGTATTTGAACGAGTATGAGTTGCTTTTTAAGTTTTCCATACAAAACGAATGTCGGTCATCATATCGAAAGTTCTATAAAAGTATAATAGAAAATATACTAATAAAAGGGATAGGAGTTTCAAGTAACTTTTCTTTTCAAAACTCATTTACTAATTTATTGTTTATAGCGCATTACATATCAATAAAATGGCATATCTGAAAGTTTTGCAAACTTTTTCAAAGAAATTCACATGAAGTCAGTACAAGCAATCAAAAATATTGAATGTTTCAAAAGAAGGAAAAAGTTATATGATAAAAATAGTGCCATTGAAAATTGCTATAACTTATTAAATTAATGTCATAAGTTTGTTTTTGTGTTCCATTGTATTATACTACTGTGTGGATTGTCTCTAGTAAAATAAAAAAATCATGTGATAGATCAAACAAACTTTAAAACTCAGCAATTTACAGTATCCATCAAAGTTGTTTTAAAATTAGTTATCTTATCAAATGAATATACAAGAATTTCGTCGTAAATATGAATAGCTTTTTTAAAAATAAAAAAATATTTGTAATACTAACTAAAAAATTGTAATAATTTATCCAAAATTACTTAAAACAGTCGAATGTGAAATCATTCTAAAAATTTAACGCCATTAGGGTAGGTAAATTGTATTTATAATGTCAAATTTTCTTCAGTATGTCAATATGTTTTGGGCGTTAATAATAGAAACACTGTAATGCGTACATCACGTTTTAAGTATATTTTTCGTACTGTAGAGTCGAACATTATAAAAAATGTTTATTTTTTACTCAAATAAATATTTGTATTAGTATTGGTCACAACACTCAAAGTCGGTGTCATATCATATTTATGTATAAATATTCACTTAAAGAACTGACTGTTTTTGAGGATTATAAAATAGTATTTACTTCAAAATAAAAAATATTTTTCTAATACTTAATATTTTGAAATTTACACATAAAGTTATTATAAAGAACATGTTATGCACCTACTATTTTTTTTTTTATATAATATTTATCCATAAATTGGCCGAAATTAGAATTAAAATTTTTATTTTTAATTATTTGCTTATATTAAATTTTTGTTTACTANTTGAGGATTATAAAATAGTATTTACATCAAAATAAAAAATATTTTTCTAATACTTTATATTTTGAAACTTACACATAAAGTTATTACAAAGAACATGCAATGCACCTACAATTTTTTTTTTTTTTGTAATATTTATCCATAAATTGGCCGAAATTAGAATTAAAATTTTTATTTTTAATTATTTGCTTATATTAAATTTTTGTTTACTACAGGAGGAGTAATACAAGTGGAAAGCCGCCATAACATTATTAAATACGATGTAATTACAGGAACAANTTTTCTAGATACGATGTAATTACAGGAACAAAATAAAATTCTGACGATTATCCATTAAACTTTTCCATCTTCTACGCTATTAAAAAAAAAATGCATAATTTTTTAATCGAACGTTATATGTAACGTGCGAGTGCAATAAACCTGACCTTGCCACTATTCCATGTCTTTGAATTCGCTTAGCCTCCCCCGACTGATAAATTTACGACCCTCGCTGTTCTTTGTGTATTCCGACTTTCCAAGTTCAAACGACATGTATATAATAGACAGACGGACAAACCGCATACAGTTTGTGGTGTTCCAGAAATCTGCAGTGATAGATGACACAATCCTTTCCGTACCATTTTATTTCCATGAAAATATAAATAAAAGAATCGAGGCAGTTTGATGAATGTCTAAAACATCGTATATACGTTGCATTACATAAATGTGTCTGTGACTTATGTATTATTTTATATACGTGCACGTCCCGTTTGGTGTGTAATCGAAGACATGCATTATATACTAGTGCTCAGCTATAAATTTAATCTATGACAGTATAATGTATAGGAACTTGATACAAGAAGGTTTCAGTAAAAAGTTGTAGTAGATCAGTACTTGAAAAATTCCACATATTGATTTACCTCGAAGTAATCAATAATAATTGGTAGATATTTAGGCAACGACTTTACTAATATTTTAATAACATTTACATAATTTAGGAGCTATTATCATTTTAGCATGCGTTTATATTTCTTACAATAGTATTTTTCGTTGAGTGTTTATGGGGTGTACGTTTTCGGCATAATGTTTATTTATTTTTTTTAAATATTAAAATAATAAAAATCAGCCTTCGGAAAAATTGATCAACATTTATTTGCATAACTTAAGATATAGACATATTTACAGTGTTCATACTTTACACGCTGTCACATTAACCACTATGGTGACTTCAATGATTCAAAAACACAATTTTACTCCATCGGCTTTTAAAATAAGCCGTTTACGTTAATGAAGTTCTAAAGTAACTGTTTTTTTGTATATTTATTATGGTTGTAAATTTTAAAATTCTAACTGTCCCGAGCGAACAACCTAGTCATGACAAGCATATAAATAACTTGAGGCGAACGTTTTGTTTCTTTTATTAGCCGTTCAAGCTGAGCTGTGAACTAAAAATATTAAGTACTTTGTTAAATGACAAATATCAATGAATTTTTATTGAAAACATTTAAACGAAGTAACTGAGTAATAACTATATTTAAAAATAGACACAAGTACCTTTACACTAATTTATTGCCATGAACCTATTGGATAGTAACTGTATGCACACACGTGTGAATAAAATATAAGTACAACCTTATCTCATTCTATTTTATACTTGCACACACTTTTCCAACACGTTCGTACGCTACACGCTCTTTACAATACCCATTTCCGAAATGTCATCCTGCAGAACAAACCGACACTTGATGAACCCACCGATTACAGTGGTACATTGTTTGCGTGCGAACCTTGTCTCACCGCAGTACGCGTGCATCATCATAACCATCAGGTGTTAGTTCTACCACACCCTGGGCAACGGCGTCGACGACCATTGATACCATCAGAATGTGGTCACTCCAGAAGTACGAACTTGGAAGAGTCGCCGTTTTTCCTCAGCGAATCGCCCGTTGCCGTTTGGTTTTCATATCACTGGACTACGCGGACCATATCTGTGACTGTTTTGATTTCATCTTTCGGTCAATCAGATAACGTTTAATACGTTTTTATGTTGCATTAAAATATTACGTGTGACAAGTTTGATAAAATTATACATAATTATGAACTGTTTGGCGGCTGCAAAAAGTGTATAATTACTCTAGCGGATTTCAAATTATAAGAAATGTAACTATAGTTGTGTTAAGGAAGTATAATTTTACATGTTAGCTTTTGTGTTAGTAAACCATAACTCTAATTAAACGCTTTAGCGCAGTAGTTTATACTATGTACAATTTGTACTTGTTTTAATTGTTCTTAAAACACAATGCAATGATAGATTAATGTTAAATGATGTCACTTGTACGTTTTGTAAGTTCTAGATAGACCTTGCAGTTCAAAAAATAATTAAACACTGCGAATTACAAGGTCCTCAGTGTAATAACTGTACATCTCCATTTATTTAAATTGTTCAGGAGACACGAAAAACTAAGTAATTTCTGTACTAGTCTCTGTGTATTAGACGTTTTTATTTTACGATATTAGCTTATCTTGTGGGTGGAAATATTAAAAGCCCAGCACATGATTTTTTTTCAAATTTTCAGAGTAATGTCATAAACAAGATACGATTTGTGATTTTTTTTATGCATCGTTGAAAATAATCAGTACAGTGAGAACAAATAGTTAACGATACGAAATAAACACATAAAATTAATATCATCATACTTTCATATCGATGCTAAAAGTGAATTTTGGAATATAGAATAAACTTTTTATTATGCACTGGGTTCTAGAATTGGAGTTAGTAAAGAAACAACTCGACTAAACAGGAGCTTATTCAAATACTTAATTATACATGGATACATAGCCCAATTATAAAAATGAAAATCGAAAATTATGTAAAAAGTATGCCATGACATATTCAAGCTGTGTTGACTGCTAAAGGTCGTTATATAAAATAATAATTCTAACAAAAAATATTGATTATTGTATTTGGATCTATTAATAAGACATGATACTACACTGTCTTGTGGATTCTTTCATATTTCTCTAATATACTTTTGACTTAAAAAATCTATGAACGAATATCGACAAAATGAACAAAAAAATTGCTACCTCGAACATTTATAACATAAAATTTGATTTTTTTTTCTAAAATAAAATGCAGTACTAACTTTATTGAAATAGTAATATTTATATAGTACACACACTAAAAGTAACTTTTAGTTAAAATAATCGGAAGTAATATAATTTTATTACCTCGAAATTTTTTTTTTTCATATAATTTTAAAATTGTAATACAAATTAAGGGATTCTTCAATAATTTTATTTTGAATTTTGATGGCTTTATCGTACTGAAAAATAAATAAATCTATCAATTTTTTTTTTTTATTTATCCGTATTTTTGATTAAAATTAAAATTACATCTTTCTATCTGATTTTACATAGAAATTACGATACTACCAAATGAGCAAACTTGAGGAAGTACATTTTTTTAAAATAAATTTCGTAATTTTTTGAAAAAAAAAAAACTATATGTGATTCTTAACATTATTTGTAAGTATTTTACTCATTTTGTATGTTGAAACGGCAATAATGGATATTTATACGCCTCAAGTTCAACATCCGCCCCAAGTTGGTCAATTTGATTATACCCAATATATTATTTAAAAAAATGTCATTTTGAATGCAGAATAGGCGGGAAGATCATCACAGTAATACATTAATTTCTACTATATCCTGTATAAATATACAGAATCACAAAGAAAAATAATATTCAAAAATATTATTTTAAACAAATTTATCATAGAATCTTAGAGTTTCCAGGTTTCGAATGTTAAAACAAAATAAATATGGAAACTATTTGTTATTGACCATGACGTCAAGTATGAACACAATCGTCCTTTGGAGTACCTGAGAATCACGTACCACAAATAGGTAATGACCAAACCCTCGTAAGTACTCCCTCAATGTTACTTCAAAATCGACCTATAACCTATGGATAGATTGCTTTAAGTAATTTATGTTTTTTTACTCATCATCTATTAATAATTGTGACACAAAAGAACAGATTATGAACTAATGCATCAATGTATTATTATTATTATACAGTAGTTTTTCGGTAATTATAGATTTTTGCAAGGAAATTTTTATATTATCACGTAATTATAGGTACTCTATGACGATGAAATTAAAANAGGAAATTTTTATATTATCACGTAATTATAGGTACTCTATGACGATGAAATTAAAACATTGTACGCTATGGACTTTTCATAAACAAGTTTACCTTCAAAAAATACTCTGCTAGATGAAAAGTAATATTGGTTGAAGACTTCGTTATGTAACATTTGAATTTTCGCAGATTTATCAAGCACAATTTGATTGTATCTTTAAATTTATGAATAGAAGTGTAATNAACATTGTACGCTATGGACTTTTCATAAACAAGTTTACCTTCAAAAAATACTCTGCTAGATGAAAAGTAATATTGGTTGAAGCTTCGTTATGTAACATTTGAATTTTCGCACATTTATCAAGCACAATTTGATTGTATCTTTAAATTTATGAATAGAAGTATAATATTTTAATGCTCAACAGCGTCACGTATTTTCTTATGGAAATATATTTAAATATTAATATAATTTAGGTTAAATAGTTAAGTTTAAATTATTGACATATACTCACCAGCTTTGTTTTCATTATATTGCAATAAATTAATTTGTATACTATAGAAATTAAACACACGATAACAATTGTGTTCAAGGCTATTCTTTAAGCGGTTATAGTATAAAATTTTATCTATCGTGTTGTAATTCAACAAATCTAATTACTTATTTAGGGTAAGATACACAATTAAAATATATTTCATTTAACTCGTCATTAATGGAAAATTATATGGTATGATTATGGTAAAAATCTGACTAACGAGAGACATTAGGAAATTGTGAAACAAATCTGTTGAAGTATTACTACTTATAACAGAATAGGTTGACTTATAATTGATAAAAGCGATTCTTTTCATTTTACTGAATTTATAGTGAATACTACTACTACTTATGCAATGGAGTAACAACATAATTTTTTCCTGTACGAAAGGTCTTATTACTCATAAATATTATAAATAATAATGAGTTCTACCGAATAAAATTATCTAGTACTGTACGAGGAAAAATATTTAACTTCTATTCGTGAATACACAAATAATTTTTTTTACATACAATCTTATAGATATAAAATATTATATTTAACAATATTTTTATTTTTTTTTAAAATTTTTATTCATTTTAATTTTGCATGAAATATTATATAAATTTTACAATTTATTTTTGTATTTTTTTAATTTAAAACGCATAAAATACATAGATTTTTGTATGTTTACTTTTCTTTGTGAATAGCCAAAATAAATATTCCTTGTATTTATTTTAAGGGTCATTAAGGGGTTACTATTACAAAAAGTATCTACTAAATAGTTAATTAGTAAATAAAGTTAATTATAAACAAAAATTCAACAAATTAGACTTCTGACTCTAAAGTCATCATGAAAATTGTGCATTTTTTAAATAACTACCGTATTTTAATGTTTATTAGTTATAGTTTACTGTCTAATCAATACTTATTGGCATCATTCTATTAACTGGGAAAGACCGTGATTCTTTGTAAAAGCTGACTAATACGCAAAATTAAATATGAGTTACAATGTGTTCTCATTCATATGGACTAGACAAACTATTAACAGACGTTCGTGAGTCATCTTATAATGAATTATTATAATGCGCGTTGATCATTATTAAAGATACCCAGAACTACCTGTTCGTTTGGAAAATACATCCACGCTTTATTAAAAATCGAACTCATAAGAGATTCTAAGAAAATATTATATTTATAAAGATTTATTTTGTATCATGTGTAAAATGTTTGAAGTATGAAAATTAGATTTAGTTTGAAATCAATTTTTAGACTTCCACGAAAATTGGACTTTTTTCAATTAAATTCATTGCATATCATTACATTTCAATATAATACCTATTCATTATAGATCTCATTATATTAATTTAAAGAGGAAGTTAATAAATCTTGAGCTTTACTAAACTTCATGAAATCATCAGACAATGTTTAATGGATAAACCTATATGAATATAAATATATATATACAGCTAGCTTCTGAGGGAAAGATTGTATCGTGTCATATTCTTTTGTGAATTTAAATGACACGATATATTTTAAAAAATCACTACAATGGGGTCGTGACATAATGGGGACGCAGCATAGTTTGGAACGAGTATAAATGATATCTCACAGTGATTAGAATCACTATCATAAAAACGCTTATATGTGAATCTATTAAATATCACAATCATTTGTATATTTCTAATTTCACAATCTCTATGTTTTAAAATTTCACTCTAATATTAAGTGCTTGTTAAATTATTTTCTTAATCATAAAAAATGCAATTTTCTTACTTTGAGGCCGAAAAAAACACTTTCATTCAAGGGATGTCTCTATTAAACCCTTCCTGTAGTCAGGTTTCTATAAATAGTATTCCCAAAAAAATTTTATCGTCTCAAAAATTCTCTATTATAATTTTTTTATGATAAGTGTTTAAAAACATTTATAGTAGTTATAAAGTACAGAAATATTTTTGAAAATAACGTTTTTTAGAGTAGTGTAATTTTGAGATATTTTTGTTAAATTTATCAAATTGATTTTAAAACTAACTCAAATGCGTTAGTTTCAAATTTTTACCGCTAATTGGTTTAATTAGAATAAAAATGCGTTCTTTTGGCACTTAGAACAACAAAATCGGTCCAGTGAGAGCTGAGATTTTTCATGGACGAAAAAAACCAATTTCTGCTTAGCTTCAATCGAAGGTAATAATATTAAAATCTTCATATTGAGAGCTTAAAAAAAATCCTTTAAAAAACCTATGTACAAAATACTCCATAAGTAAAAATCATATAAAATGGTATATGCAGAGTGTTTCATTAGTAAAAATTTTACACGAAGAATATACCATTACAAAATGATTAATTTTTTAAAAATATTTTATATTTTATTGCATCGTATTAAGTAATTGATTGCAAACGTACAATTTTTTCGATGCAATTAAAGAGAACGGTTTGTTTTGATAATAATATGAGTCAAAAGAGGACATTTTAGATTGATCGTTAGATTATATTTTATCATTAAGTATAAATTTGTATACAAAATATATTTATCGCAGTAGTTGGGAAGCAGCACATTACTTTTAGAAGCGCTACTATTTTACTAGTTGTATTGGGAACGAACTGTTTGCTAGAAATAGCGTTTTTAATAGCTCTAACAAAAAATTTTGTAGAAAAATACTTTGCGAAAATACTATGCTACTTGCTACTATTTATCATGCTTATTCACATTTCATAGTTTAATTAAAAAAAAAATATATTGTTCATTACTGTTCATCGGTCAACTATTTTTAGAAATCACAATGTAAGAACACAACCAATAATTATAATACTGCAATAATCATCAATATTAACATGTTTAAAATAATGTTATATTAAAATATTCAAAATAATTCTTTGAACATTATCCATTGGATTTCTTTTAAAATGATAATTATGTTAAGACAATTATTTTTAGTATTTCTTATTTTTATATAATTCTCGGTCAATTATAAAGTATTTTATTGATTCGTCCCTTTTACCAATTTCATTTCAAATCTTTTTTTATGACAAATTAAATAATTGATCAAATAATTAAAATAAATAAAATCAAATAATACTTCTACATTCAATGTAAAATAATATGTAAATTCGTAAAACACAGATTTACTTAATTTACATATAATTTTGATGGAAAGTATTTATAACAAAAAACTTTAATTTTTACTAAATTTCAAAATAGGTGCGTGTTTTTTTCTATTAACAAAAATTATGTCAGTTTTGAATTATTCATCTAGCCATAAAATTAAATTTTTAACTTCATAAAATCGTCTATTATAATGTTAGAAATTTATAACTGGAAATCAAACCATAACAATGTTATAGTAAAAATTTCAACTATAATTTTAATTAATAAGTGTTATACACAAGTTAAAATGTCCAAAAAATAAAATGGACTTGTTTCAGTAATCTTAAATTTTGCACAACCCTTTTATAATATAATTGAAGCAAATATGGAAAGTTTTAAAAAAATTTATTATTTATATTTTTCATGAATTTTTAAATGTGTAATTTGCCTTCAGCTATTAATTAAAAGTCCTAGTGGAACAACCACATTAGTCCATCTTTTTCATAATATAACTTTATGTTAATTTTGAAGAAATATAATTGTTCTGCGTATTTAGTAGAAAAACGAGTTCTAAATTTCTATTATTCATTGGGATACCTAATTTAGAAAAAAAATTTTATAATAACTTTTAATAGAAAATTTTCTTAAAATGTCTGAAAATTTAAAAAAAATTGCCTTGTGGTAAAGTAAATCTAAAACTTAATTTGGAATCTGTATCATAATATCTTAAATATCATGTAAATATTTACAGCTTTAGTTATTAAAATGAATACAATATTTTATATAGAATTTAATGTTTAAAATGGTTTATTTTATTTATATTTAAATAACTATACAAAAAATCGAAACACAGTTTTAACTTTATATAAATTATGAATTTAATAAATGAAAGAAAGAGCAAATTCAAAACTTAATAATACATAATTATTATATTAATTTTTTTTGCTTAAGTGTCAGTGAATCAGCTTCCGTTTTATTTAACCTTTTACTATTGTAAACAATCTATTTTCACTATTACCTCTAGTATAACTTATATAGAACTTATCTGGTTATTGTAATACTTTTTATTTGTTTTTTAGTTTTTGACTAGTGGAAGTATCTAAGTATTTAACACGATCGTATTATTACGCATTGGTACTATATTTGAAAAGGAATCGTTGTCTATTTAACCTTGGGACTATTAAAAACTTAATAAAATATTAACATGATCGTGACAAAAATTAACAGGAAATTTAATAGATTCTGATAACGGTCACCCTTAAAGAGTAAATTAACAAAAAATAAATTTTATTTTTCAGAATCAAAAATATTATGTAAAATAGAATATAAATAAATTAATAAAAAATCTAGTGTTATATTGTTTTGTGATTTTAATAATGATAATGTATACTTTAAATTTTTCCCCTTTGCTACTAATAATTTTCAATTAAACTTTAGAATATTTTATATAATTTAATATACAACAAAAATGTAAAAGTTACATTTTATATAATTTATTTCCATAAAAATTTCGATTATTACTTAAAAAATGAGCTTCTCTTATTTTCCAAACTATCCTTTAAATATTCTTGAACTAGAAATACTTATGTTGCTAAAATTTTTTCTTATAGAATTGAGCATTTGAGTTACATGATTTTGACGTTCTAATAATGGATCTCTTTGATTCTCTATAAACTTGTCACAACATTCAGTAATTAACTGATCACAAATATTTAAGTCATCAACTTGGGATGGTTTACCGTTTACAATTTCTGGACAAATAGAATCAACAAAATGCCTTTTGAATATATTTTTCGTTACAGATTTATGTTCGTCGTAATTATAAATTTCACTTTCCCATTTATTAAAATTATTATTAAAATCGCTCTTAAAAGTTGGTGTACGTGAATCATCTACAACAGGTATTGCTAATTGACAAGATTTTATTAAATAATTTTTATTTTACAATAGTAACTTTATCATTTATAAAAAGGTATTATAACTGTATTCATGACGTTTAAATATGATTAAAATTTTATTAGTTAAGTAAAAATTACTATATTTACCATAATTTATAATATAATAATGTACATCTGCTTTAATCAAACATTGAATTAAATCATTTTTGTGTTTTAAAAAGTCATACGATGATTCACATCGTGCTTGGACAAAAATCTATGTAAAAATCACAATGGGTTGAATATTAATTCATAAATGAAAAAGTATTCAATATTTTTTTTATTAATATGCATATTAAAATAATTGTAATTAAATTAAAACAACTAAATTTTGCTAGAAAATAAAAAAATTGCAAGTATCTAAATTAATGAAAAAAGCGGTACTATTTTATTATTTTGATAAAAAAATGTATCATTTTTTTATAAAATAAAGAAATCTATACATGAATTGTATTTCTCGATTAAAAGTTATGGAATTTTATTTTAATTTTTCCTTGATATTTATTGTCTTCAATGTTAAAACAATGAATATTATATTTAATCAAATTCAAGTACTTAAACGCAAAATGTTTAATTATCACTTCATTACCTAGGAGTAATTTTAATAAAAATTTTTTAATTATATCTTTCTAGTTAACTATAATTTAAAGAATAATTTTAAGGTAGCAAACATTTTTGATCTTACCAGAGCTATAAAAACCAACGCGAACGTGTTACTTATTATTAGATTCATAGCAGAAAAAATAAAAGTTAACTTAATGATAAATGGTTTCATGTTTTTCTGAATAGAATCTTTATCTTATATACAAACACATTAGTATGTTCATGTAACAATATAATGTATTACGATTAAACAGTATGTTTATTTAAGAATTTACAATAATTTACTTTTAAAACAACTGCTACTAATTTTCTGTTACACTCCACTTAAACACTAGTGTTAAAAAATATTTTTAAAAATGTTTAGTGTCAACATTTTTTTCTTTTTGCAAAATCAAATAATAATAATAATAATAATACACAGCAAAAACAATGAAAAATAGTGTAAGATACCAATAACTTCTGAAAAAAAACAATTATATTTTATCTTATTCTTTTGAAGATACTATGTTAGACATAGTTAGCCGGTTATTCTGTACTATTTGAAATTAAGTAATTATCATCTTTACGTTTACTTAAATAAATAAAATAAAACAAACATTAGTTTAAACTTAACGTTAAGTATTTTAATATTTAATTAGAATTACGAGGATCTTAAAATTTAACACAAAAGTAAACATTATTAAGAAAAATTGATTTTTCAAGGTAAATAAAAAATAATTATATCAATTGTTACTTAAAAAGTACTGTGCTAAACTTTTAAATTTTAGCACAAATTACTAGCCTTTTAAGATTATTTATTATTAAACTAAGTATTATTTTTTAAAGTCGTTTTAAAAAATAAATTATACATTTACATCAGTATTAATGTGTTAGTAATAAAAAAAGAAATTTCATGATTATCACGAAAGTAAAATTTTCTTTTAGTTTGTGTACATTATTTAAGGAGATACTAATTGAGAATGTTACGTTCTATTAATAAAACAAATTTCAATTTTGTTCAATTTAATACACAATGGTATTTGATTTAATTATTTACAGTTGCTCAGAAATGGTAATGTGGCAATAGTTTAATATTTTAGATCGAAATCCTTTATAAAATTTTATAATGGTATAAAAATCAAATGTTTTCTATTAAATACAAATGTTAAGCTATTTATATGTAAAAAATATTAAAATAAAAAAACCAACACACTAGGGATGCAGCATAGTTAGGACAGATAATATCTAACTGTAATTAACATCACTATCATAAAAAACGAGATTATACATTTTTTTTGCTTTATTAAGTCGAATAACTCGTAGAATAAATAACGTCGGAACGTTTTTGTTTTTGAACACAAATACTCTATTAAAGCTTTGATTTGGTATAACAGTCGATTATTTAAATTCTGTGTTTATTTAAAAGCCTATTTTCAAAAATATAAAATCTGCTGTAATCTAATGGCAAATATAAAATTAGTATTAAATTCTGGGGTCCAAAAAATGAATATTTTGTATAAATCTATACTATACGGCTAATGGTGTCTCTATTGAATGACTAAGAAAATTCAATATAAACTTATATTTGATTCGTAAAATTGTCAAACGTGTATTCATTTATGTTTTCTTCATATTTGTACTTGTTTATTGAACTTTGAATATACAATTTTGGAATCATATTTGACATTAGCATTTTGATCTGTTACTTATTTTAGTGTCAGATATTAGTTTTTAAAGATATTCAACTAATAGTTTTGTGTAACAACGTATTTTTTAATAAATCAGAATAGTAAACTTTTTTTAGTTTCAATATACTTTCAAATTATGCGCCTACTTTTTTTGCTTATTAAATTAAACTTTAGTCAAACTGTAAATATTAAAAAATGGATCACTTGGAACATTTATACATAATTTCATTGTATTTATCCGAACTAGAAAATATTAAATATGAAAACTATAAATTCATATGAAATGAGAAGTTCTGTATTTCCTGTAGTTATTCAGATCGCAGAATATTGTCAAAAAATTGGTTTTATTTTTAGTTTTTTTTTCATACAGTTAATATTATTTATATGATATTTATGCTTTTTCATTATGGCTGCCGATTTTTGTCTTATTAGGAAATTTAAATGGCGTTTTTAATATTTTTAGACTTTCAATATTTATTGTAGGTAATAGTAATGACTTGTTTTTATTTTTTTGTGACTCATGACTATATACAAAAGCAATAATTTTGTAAATTTAAGTAACATTTAATTGTTTAGATAGACTGTGGTCAGTATCATTCATAACAGTAGGATATTACTAAACATAAACTCATTTATGAATCAGTGTATTGATCACAGTGTACTAATGATAAAAAATAAGACAATTTTATTTTAAAATAAAATATTATTTTGTGTAGAAGTTTCATAAATTTTATTTGCTTAATACTTTAAAACATTTAATGCGCCAATTTTAACTACAAACATGTAAATCAATATAATTATCACAATTAATATAATTTTATAAAAATAATAAACACACAAACATTATTTCTATTTTAACAAGAACAATTTTTAATGTTTTATTATTTATATTGTATTAATATATGATCAGTTTAACCTCCTTCTACTTCCTGAATTTAACATACAATAAAGGGTGGTGGCCCTCTTTTACATGTTAGAAAGTTAAAAATAGTTCTTGGCTATGATGGACGGACGGAAATTATGAGAAAATCAAAAAAAATTTAGTTGGCACCCTGGACATCGAACTTAGGACCCTAAACGCCAAAATATACGTTTTTATTCGCTAGACCAAGCCGACCCATTATTATTTTAATGTAAATATAATAGCATTAATAATAAGGTTATTATTTTTAACACTAACTAGTGTTAGAAATATCAACGTTAACATAAATGTATTCTTTAAAAAAAATTACATATTAAAAGACAATTAAATACAATAGCTTATTCTTTATATTAATATTTTATAGATATGTACATTTTAATATTTTTTTAAACAAATTAATATCTAAAATAAGGAATATTATTCACTCATATTTTTATTATACACATATCATAATTATAGAAGTAAATATGGTCTTATTTCGGCATAGGGTATTTACATTAACAAAGTTTCACCCCCTCCTTTAAACTATTTGGTGTTACATAAAGGTAAGGTTTTAGTTAAATTAAGTTAACTAGAACCTTGCCTTGATTAATATGAGAAATAAATAAAAAATTGGCCGTAAATAAACGTGATATCATAACTGTTAATTACATTCTCTGATATTTATTATTTCATTTGACTTTGTTTGTTTTCTGCTATACGTAAACTAATTAACTTAAAAAATAAATACTTCTAAATTCTATGACTTAAAATTATTAACACTTATATTAAGTGTCATTAATTAAGTATACTACTCCCTTTTTTTGTTAAATAATGATTTTTTACAAAAATGTATAGATTAGAATCTGATTTATTTTATAAACCATTATAAATATCAAATTGTTTGTTAGAAAAAATTATTCTTAAAAATTATGCTAAGCTAATTTATATGATATTTATTTTTTGTAAAATATTAAGCATGTGCCTTGTAAACATTTTTTTTTAATGATCTTAAAATGTAATTTACAGTATTAAAATATTATGTTTTTATGTAGAAATTAGTAAACAGCTTAATTTCTTATTTATAATTGTTAAAACCGTTACAATAACAATGATCTGTGGAAATAATTGAACACCTAAATAAATACTATTTTTTCTGACTAACATTCATGTGTAAAATAATATTAAAGTGACATAATTTATAATAACTATAGTTGTAAATAGTATTAATGGGCACATTATCATATATATATATATTAAGAATTATTCAAACAATACTTACTACTTATCTAAAGGAAAAAATGATATTAAGAAATTAACATATTATGAACTTCTTAATGAAGTATCCGAATATGTTATCTGATTAACCTTAGCGTGATCAATTTTAAGCAATTAAAGACAGTTGTAAGGTACACTTTATAGATTTGAATCTGTCAAAGAATCAACTAAGAATGTTAGTTTGTCATAAATTGTATTAAAATTTATAAGAGTTGTCAGTAATTTCTGTTGTAATTTCTTGAAATATTTTGGGTTTTGATATTAATGGATTTTAGTATTAAATTTGTTAATAAATACAAATTTAATAAAAATAATTGTAAAAATTCTACATTAAATATGAGCACTCTTTATTTTGATACTTGTTATCTAATTCCAGTTCATTACCCAAAATCGTTTCATGTGTGCCTTTTATAATGGCACAACAAATAAACCAGAAGGGTGGAATTCGAAAGACCTTTAGAAAAAATACATCAAAAACACCGTTGTATTTATCAAAATAAATTTTATTTAAATATTATGTAAAAAGAAAAATTGTTTTATGTTGCACTTTACTTTAAGAACTCAAGATACTTTACCTTGAGATACGTGGCATTAGTTTTGCAATATAGAGATTTAAAATTTACTTCGACTGTTATGAATTATCGTGATATTTAATGATATGATAATAACACATCTAGTTTTTTTCTGAAATATTTGAGGGACTTATGGTAAAATTACAAGTGATGCGCATTTCCCAGCCTCCCGTTGGGCCTACGAAGAAAGTACTCTCTGTTCTATTGCAACATACATTTTACTAATTTGGAAATACTTGAGATCCGTATTAAATGCATTGAGTAAATGAAGACTCGTTCATATCACTAACAAAATATATCGGCCCCAGACTAAAACCTATTACGGCGTACCACCCTATTTCCTACAGACACAAGGCATAAACTACAAATTCATACAACATGTCGGCAGTGAATGCCAATTATTGCACCCTCTGTTATAACTAACAGTATTGTACTAAAGCGAAAGGGACGAGACAATTATATTTTCGTCACAAAGTACGACATCAGACACATAATTTGCTTTGGTAAAGCACTACTGTCGTGTATAAACCTGACATATATTTTACTCAAAACAGTCTAAATAATAGTCCAATTAAAATGTCTAAAAACAAATTTAATGTAATCTAAAAATCATTATAATTCTATTTTGGTTCTATTTAAAAATTATATTTTGCAAAATATAAGTTGTGCACTAAGTTATTTATAACTGTATATTTATTTCTCACGACTCATCTAAAGCACTTTAACAGAACGTATATGACAAAATAACCTATTTACCAGTCGCATACATTCTAAAATGGCAATTAGTTATTAAAATAAAGATTAACTGCGATACAGATTGTAATTTTTTTGCATTTTAATAAAAACTAGTTTATTCGAAAAAAAAAACTTTTTCTCGTTCGTTTCGTTGAATAGTTTGACATAAATTAATCCGACTTATAGATCGAGTATAGATTTATGATGTATTAGGTATATATTTTTTTGAAACTATATAAATCTTCAAAAATGATCTTTTCCAAGGTTAAAACTGCGATTCCGGCAACTTCTAAAAAACTGAAGTTCACCCGAGTCATTTTCCAAACGCCATTAAAACAGCTTTGTTTTTAGCACATGTGATGTATTCGATTTATAGTTTGCCGTGTGTCATGATGAATGATCATAATTTATTTTGTTTGCCTAGCTGCTTTAAAAATGTATTCAAAGTAAAATGAATTTTCATGTTGAAGAGTCAAATATTCTTTACTGATAAAATTACTTTGTTACGAAATGTGTCAAAATTTTAACATTGCGAAATAACGAGAACTGAATTTAAAAATAAAATACTTTACTAAGTTTATTTTTAGTGTAAATATTATGAACAGTCATANTGTTTATTTTTAGTGTAAATATTATAAACAGTAATATTGTATTTTACTCCTAAAATATCGAAAGGTCAACTAACGGGCTGCTATTTAATTTTTACTTGTTTTTTCACATTAGGACACTTTTATGGTTACTGTGAGAACACGAAGCAGTTTTGTTCACTGACGACTTCGAATTTGACTTTTTAATCACAGTAGTAGGAACACATCTTAAATGTCACACAGACTTCTCTGGTTTTTAATCAATTTTTACACCATCGCAGTTGACTTTGCATCTGGTCGTTAAATTCACTGAGTTTAAGTTTACCCGTCTCGGCTGATTTACAGTTTAATGCTTAACGCGTACAGGGGTGTTAAACAAAACCATTTCCGGGATTCATTAAAATCTTTGTGGAAAAACCACATGCAGTCTACTAGACGCTACGGCGATGACTTCTGCAGACTATTAACAAAGTTTTGTAATAACATCAGCATTTTTATTGTTGGTGTTCACCGTTTGATCAATTTGCAAGCATGGATAGCTTACAATAAATACTTGTTTTAGTACTCTTCAAAGTAATTCATTTTATTCTTTCGGACGTCATAACTACCAAATTAATATATTGAACGTCGACCATTAAATGCTTATGAATTATGACAGGACAGGAGTCGTTAGTATACAACGCTGTGTTACGTTTTAAACCAACCCCTTTGATTTTCAGCAGCGTCATAGAAAATCCAACAATTTTTCTTGATCGCTTTAATAGTTATTGTTATCATCATCCCGACTCATTAATAATATTTAATGAACAAAGTCACACCACTTACAGCGTACTGCGGTAACTCATAGCCATTAGAATAATATTAAACGTTTTCTTGCCACACTCTAATTTGTAATAAATGATACACTCGTTTATATAATTTAAAATCAAGATTTTCAACGAATTGCCTCCATTTTTCTTGTCTGCTATTGTTATGCTACAGTATTTTATATCTGTTACAAGAATGACTCATTGTTAAAAACTATGCTTACGAGAATGTTTTCAATCGGTAACTTTTAATTTATTACCTTCTTTTAAAGATTATTGTAATATGATAAAGATTAAAAACTCGTGTTTAAATATTCAAAATTACATTACAGTTCTAAACAAACTGCATAATTTTTATAATGATATAAGAAATTTATACTGAGGTTGAATAATGAAACTTTAATCAAGTAATAACATAGAAACAAAACACAGGAAAACATGTCTTATGTAATACTTCAGGGAAAGAAGTACTTTAAAGTTAATTAATAGTGACGCATTTAGCTAACAATCAATATTTCATCATGTAATCGCTGAATATATTTTTACTTATAAAACAATATTTAATTATTTTTACTCATCAAACTGTTTTCAACATCATATAGGTTGCATGTAAAGAACTTATAAAAAAACACGATCTCGGTCGGTTTACTTGTAGTTTTGTCAGTGAAAAGATAAAATCATTTACAAACGTTTTTTATCTAATTATTTTGAAACGGTGTCTTAATAATATTTCGCACAAGTACGCGAAATGTCGTAGAATGCTTTTTGCATTAGAGTAATTATCGGATTTTAAGATTAATAACCTTTTACACACAATTTATTTCACTCGGCTAATTTCCACGAATAAAGAAGTAATTTATTCGACCTTTATCAGACGTGTAATTAATTTTTTTATTTTAAACCCGTTATTAATCAATAATGCATATTTTATATTTATTTATGTAATTATATTACGTTTTATTTAATTATTTGAATTGCTTGTAAATTTATTATATACTAATTATGCATTCTTACCTAAGATGAGGTCGTAATAATTAATTTAATTAACTAAACAAATTTATTGAAATAATTCACGATTAACCTAAATTTCAATACCCTGGTTAAATATTATTAAATTAAGTAACGTTAAAATATTTATGCATAACGTGGTAAATACATCCCGTTATCTTAAATTAAATTTAGTAAAAAAAAAAAAATATTTGGTGGTTATAAGTACTACAAAATTATATTGTAATAAAAATCACTGGGTTACTATAGTTACTAGACACTATATTAACGAACAAATAAAATAATTCAAATTAATACAATTTGGTTCTTGTAAAAGGAGAAAACTAGTAATAAAATTAACTATAATAACGTTTAGTTAAAGTTATAATTTGAATTTTTCCAACCACTCTTTAATAATTTGTTTAAGTTATTAATAATAAAACTGAGTAAAATTGTATAATTAAACTTTCTTGAAAATATTAAAATGTCATTATCAATTTGGAATAAATTCTTTTAAAATTTCCCATCCGTTATATTTAAATTGGTAATTGAAATATGTTTAAAAAGTTGTGTTAATTTATGATTTATTCTACAGGCTAGCATTGAATGATTTTTGTTGTTAACATATACTTTGAGTTCAATGCCAATAAATAGTCAGAAATACATATTTGTCAGTAGAATGTCAATAAATGTAAGGTTATTGATTTCTAATAATTCAAATATCATAACTTACCCATTATCAAATAATTTATATGAATATTACAGACATTTCATTCGGACATTCGTCCTTTTAGAGTACTTCATATTTAGTGGCTTGTGCCAACGAACCAAATTATATAATTTCGTTTTGCAAAGACGTCTCATACAGCTTCTTATAATAACAGTAANTTTCGTTTTGCAAAGACGTCTCATACAGCTTCTTATAACAACAGTAAACTCTTAAAGCAGTAATAATACAGTAAACGCCCAACATAATCAAATTCCGAAATTCGCTGCAGGTCAATTATTGTTCAAACAAACGTNTAACAGTAACTTTTAAAGCAGTAATAATACAGTAAACGCCCAACATAATCAAATTCCGAAATTCGCTGCAGGTCAATTATTGTTCAAACAAACGTATCCATATATGTTACCACGCACGTTGATCATTTCAGCTTTTATTTTTCGTTTATTACTTTTTGTGGTCCAACGCACAGTTTACTAATCTGCAGTTGTAGATTAACTATACAAGTCTATTGCAAACCTTATTTTTCAAAATTACACGCTTAAGTCCACCGCGTAACAGGATGTACGTGAACAAAGAAAATGGCTGAAGTTTTAAACGAAAATAGGAAATTATGTTCCTTAAATCTATGCGAATTTAGAGGCAGTTAAATTAGTTGATTAAACATGAAAAAACTCGTATACGAAATTGAAAATTTTTATTTTTGCATTAGATATTAGTTAAAATAATTGATTATACGTATAATAATTGATTATATATATATATATATATATATAAGTCCATGTATAAATTATATAAAAAAAATGAAAAAGTGGGGTTTGCAACTGTATGCATTATACAATTTGTATGAACTGCTTCCAATGTACCCAACTCCATGGAAATTTATTATAGGTATATATAGTATCACAGGGAATATTTTTGTTCTGGAGGAGTTATCCCTCCACACCCCTTAAAACTAAGATCCCAACTAATATACATTAATTAGGATTAAGAATAACAAAAACGAATAACAATTTTTAATTAGTATGCTCGGAATGACTAAAATAAACTTCATAAATACGTAAAATCCTGATCCCCATTAATTAGTATTTTAATTCCCGCAGTAGAATTTTAATAATATTTTACATTAAATTGACAATTTTTTAATTTATGTATAACTGATATAAATAAAACGAAACCGTTTAAAATATAATAAAATGTATNTGATATAAATAAAACGAAACCGTTTAAAATATAATAAAATGTATTTGAACATTAACAGTTTGAGATTTGTTTACATTGTCTTCTTTTTCAAGAAACAATTACTTTAAATTGATAAGCACTACCTATTCTTAGTAATGCAATCAATGGTGTAAGAGCATAGGTACGTTATCGATTCACAGAAATAATGTCTTGCATAAATGCTCATTTTTTCATCTTCTTTAAACTTAAAAGATTTATAAGTCACTGGGAATTGAATAAAATAATAAAAAATTTCACTCTCTTCATTAGATCATTAGATCATATTTTAATAACTGAGACTAAGTTAATGGAGCGCCTCTATCCTAAACAAAATTATATTTATTATTAATTTTAGTATAACATTTAATTATTTTATTTGGTTCTCAAATATTTATATATATATATAAAAATACATATTAATACAGAGTAATTATTTCAACGTTAGCCACTCAATTTCTTAAAATAATAACATATCTGAATTTTTTATTTTTGGTTCTTGTTTGTTTCACATGTATCCAGTTATCTGTTATAAAATAATTTTTAAGTCCAACTCTTATAACTTTTAGGGTTGTTGACTTTATTTTTTCAAATAAAAACGTTCATAAATTATAAGCTTACTAATGGATAATAATAACAATGAAAATGACTGGTCAATAACAAATATCAAAGTAGTATTTTAAAAGTTATTAAACATTTTAAGTATAGCTGGAGATAACGGATGGGTGCAGCTATATTTATCACTAATCATTTTCTGGCTGCATTTATTAAATTCCTGGTAATCAAATTGGTTACTAACAAAATATGAAATTTGTATTTTTAACTTATACTCTCAACTAGTAAACATCGAATAGTAACTATCGAACTATTCGATAGTCATTCAAAATCAATTCGAATAGTTATTCGATAGTTTACAATATTAGAAAATGCCCATCACTACTCTCAACCATACTAGTATAGTTTTAGTGTTTACTTAAATTTTGATATAAACTACATTTTCAAAGCTATGTCCTTGATTTTTTTTTAGATTTTTTATAATAATCGATTAAAATTGAGTTAAGATTTATTGTGATCTATTCTTTAAAGGACAAATTTCTTAATTAATCAAAATTAAAATATTTTATTTTTTATTCACATTTTATTCGATGTTTTTATAGTGCCTTAAAATGAATTGTATCAAAAAAAAAAAAAAATGATTAAATAAAAAATTATAATTTAATCGACAGTATAAATTTTGATTTCGTTTTACTAATCTAATACTGTAAAAATTATATTAAAATCCGTAGTATTGTAACTTTTATAGCATATTTTAAAATTATAAAGCTATTTATGAGTTTTATATATGAAAGTATTCCGTTTGCGACTCTTAAAAAATTGTTTTATTCTGAATTTTTAATTACGAAGTTCCAATACTTTTTGGTTTCTGTAAATTGTTACATTTTTCTTTTGTTTTTATTTATACTATCGTAGATCACTAAGATACCGTGTGACGTGTAATTATATGAAATAGTCATAATAAAAAATTAATTAAATTCTATGAAGCAACCCATAGAAACATCAAAATAATACATCTCTCATATATCACGTGAATGGAAGTGGAAGATCTGAACTTGAGATGAGTTCATACTTGTATCATTAAAACGTATTCTTTTAAAAGTTGTAATAGACACTTAAAAATATTGTTATTAGTGTTATAATATGCACCAAAAAATCAATAATATGCAAAAAAAATGTCATTATTTGTTTTATAAAAATTATTGCGATTTTAATTTAGTAAACTATATTAACTTCATGAGAAGTGTCACTAATGAGTGATTTTTTCCATCAAAATGTATTCATGTAATTTATTTCTACTTTTATCATATATACTTATTGTGCCCATTGTGCAGATTGAATATTTCTGATAAAAATAAAAAAACTATATTAACTATTTAACGAAAAACTACACTTTGATTATTATCATTTAATATACAATTTTTTTAAAATAAATATAAAATCTTATATTAAGTATTAAGATCAATGACTAAGTGTCAACTTTATTATATAGTTTGTTTTCGATATTCAATATTTTTTTTCTGTATTTATTCTCATATTTATTATTTACAAAACTTTTACTGAGCTACCATAACATACAGATTTCCCATTCCCATAATTAATCTTAATGATTTACTTTAACTAAAAAAACCAATAAAAATCTTGTTAAAAAAATACCTTCTCAGCTTCACATAAATGCTAAAAGTGGCAATGAAGACCTAATGAAGAGTCAATTAGCATTAGCCTTAGTTCAGAATAAGATCAGCGACAGAGATGAAATACATTTAATTACAGCCTTTCTTGAAAATGTTAATTTTATTTTCCGATTAAGAATTGTTTTAATTATTTAATTTGACTATGTTTTTAATGAATACATTTCGAAAATCTACCATAGCACATCCAGCGTTTTAAACTGTTGGTAGAACAAGAGTTATGGGGTGTCATTAGGAATTGATTCTTATATTTTATCAGGATCTATATATTTTATTTAAACACATAAAAAATGTTGAAATATCAAGTGTAGAAATGATTCTAAGTGAGATAATGTTTCAAATGTAATTATTTTTACAAGATTCAAAATTCTTGATTTATTTTTGCTTCTATCTACTACCTCCTGAGCCCTTCTGTATTTTGCTAAAAGTACAAAAAGAAATATGTAAAAACACTCAACACATAGGTGTTTTGGATAAGTGATAATAATAAAAGAATTTAAACTTTATTTAAATATTATTGCCTTTGTCAATGATACTCAATTTCTATTAATACATTTGTACGACATTAATTTAAATAGCTATGATGATGCAATATATTATTTATATAAATAATAAATCATATTAAAATTTAATATTTAATTGAAATTTTCTAAAAAACGGTAGCACAGTGTGAGAGTTGTGTAATTGGGACTAGTATAGATGATATCTGACAGTGTTTCAAATTACTATCATAAGAAACGCTTCAATGCTAATCTGTAGATAGTGTTTAATTTTAAAAAATTGGTGGATAATTGAAAAGTAAAATTCTAACTCAAAAAGAATTACAGGAAAATTAAAAAAAAATCATTGCTACGGACAATGATTTTTAATGAATAGACAAACGTTCGTCGCATTCGTTTATTGATAAAATTAACAAATTTAAGCTGATTGAAATGTTAAAATTAATTTTTTCGACTAAAAAGAAAAAAAATTGAATAAGTTTAACATAATATTCATTAAAATCAGTATACTCCCTTATAAGGTATTTTAAAATTAAATACCAAGAATTTTAACACAAAAATGGCATGTTTTTTGACTACGGCAACCATTTTCACAGAGAAGATAAGTCATCGGGACAAATTTTATTTTTGGAACTCATAACACATAATATAAATTTTATTTTAATATATGTTTGAAGCTCGGAGTATTTCTGGAACATTTTCAAAAGTTAAGTTCAAAAAGCGGTACTTGAAATTTATATTTTTAAAACTTTGTACCCCCCTATATAAAAGGAAATGGTCCGATTTACAAAGAAAGTATGTCAGATAAAAGATTTATGTATAATTTATTTAGAAACAAAAATTTGTATTGATCCATACATTTTTCAAAAAGTTATAGAAATTTAAAGTTGAAAAAATAAAATATGAAATAGTAAATTTTAACACCAAAATTGCATCTTTTTTAACTACGGCAACCATTTTGATATAGAATATAAAGTCGTCAGGAAAAATTATTTTTTTAAACATATAATATATAACATTAGCATTACTGCAAATTTAAAAAAAAAATATATCAAATGAAAGAAAAATAACCAAGGTTTTAATAAAAAAATAATTATTTTGATTTGTTCATTTTTCNAAAAAAACACACATCATAGTAAAATTAATACCTTCTCCGCTTCGCATCGAAGCTAAAAAAAATAAACACATCATGGTAAAATTAATACCTTCTCAGCTTCGCATCGAAGCTAAAAAGTGAAAAAAATGACAAAATTTACCGATTTTTAAATTGGAGGTTTCCCCCATTTACGGAGAACGAGGGAAAATTTTTTAATTTTAAGGGTAATGTCTTGAACTATATAAGATTTGTGATCTTTTGACATATCGTTGAGAAAAAACGGTCCTGTCAGAGCTGAGAAAATGTAGTGTCAGACACAAAAAAAAAAATAAAAATAAATTATCATGATAAAATTAATATTTTCTCAGCATTGCACCGAAGTTAAAATGTAACATTTTTTTATATTTTTACATGCCACTAAGTTTTCAAATCAAGTATTGCTCATACTTATTTTAAAAGTATGAAATTATAACGTTAATGTGTTTTAAAGTAAATACATTAATATCAAATGTACTTTTTAAGTGAACAAAAAATTTAAATTGCATTATTTTAGATTACTATTTTAGTATCACTTAAAAATCAAATTAATGTACGTAAATTTAACGTCTTATAACTTTTGTAAATGATGTTTTTAAAAAATAACATTTTTTTTCGCCTATTTATAAATACATAATTTTATTATTATTTTTTTTTTAGTAACTTGATTCAAATTAATTAAGTGTATAGTTTAAATAGGAGCTAATTAGATTTTTCCGTCTTCTTTAACAAAATCTGTTCCTCACGTGAGAAGTTTTAAAACTATAATAGGGTTTGAGTATTTATTCTCAAAATTGAAATTGTAAATTATCATAAATTATTGGATGATCAAACATTTTTTTTTTTGAAAGGGCAAACGACTTCCTTTTAAAACATCTATTGGATTTACATTAAAGCTGTCAATAATTGATAACTCAATTTTAAATCTTAAAAAAGATAGAGTGGTTAAATGGGGTGCCTTTGGTTTCCTTTAAGACAATACTGTTTAACTTAAAATATAAGCATAAAAAATTATAAAAACACAAAAATCAGTGAAATTTTTACACAAAAGGCATTTCTTTCTAACTTCAAGTACTATTTACGTATAAAATACAAGTAGTCAGTAAAATTTATTTTTTTAATTTGAAGTGCGCAACATAACATTGATCATAATTTATACTATATTTATAATAAATATAAATATACNTGCAAGATCAACTGGGAGCAGTAGCTGACAAAATCGAAAGTCTAAAACTTAGACCTGAGAAATTGAGTGGCTGTCAGAGGCGCAAGCTGAAGAGGAGCCGAGCAAACATGGAGGGGCAGAAGAACCTACCAAAGAAGGGAGACAAGGGAACCGATGACTTGAAAAAGTCAAAGGGAACCGAAGCTCAAAAACCTGAGGACAAGGGGCAAGAACCTCCATGTAAGAAAACTCATTGGGTACCGACCTACAGGGACGTGGTAACCGATGATAAAAAAGTGGCTCTGGTCCTCGCAGGCTACCCCACTAACAAGTTGACCACAGAGCAGGGGCTACTCATTGAGTCTTGTGTTGGAGACTTGATACTGTCGGGTACTGATGGANTTTGTGTTGGAGACTTGATACTTTCGGGTACTGATGGAACCGACGTACCAAGGTTTGAAGACACCAGACTCACTGATGGAGCACTTGTGATCAGTGCAGCCCAAGAGAGCTCTCTTAAGTGGCTCACTGACCATGTCAACTTGATAAAACCTTGGGACGGTGCAGAACTCCATTTGGAAGCCTACAACCCGATCAAGTATAAACGGATGGTCACTCACATACCAGGGCTGCCAAAAGAGTCCAAGAAGATCTTGGAAATTTTGGCAAAACAAAACCCAGGGCNGAAGATCTTGGAAATTTTGGCAAAACAAAACCCAGGGCTGAACACGGCGATTTGGAAAGTCCACCATGAGACAGAGGTTGGCCCGAAAGGACAAACTCTGTTCCTAAGTGTGGACGAAAACAGCATGGTCAAA